TGTGCACACAAATCCCAAAGACATTATGTAAATACAATAAACTCAGAACATGCTAAGTAACTGATCTATGAATGCAATGGGAAAGGAACTGAGAAAATAAAACTAAAATAGTTTAGTGGCTCTAAGATAGCTACAGACAGCAGATTTAATGTGAGAAGTGAGGGATGAAGTATGCAGCATGATACATACATTTCTGGACATAGCCAATGTGGGAATTTGTTTTCCTTGAATACGCTTATTTATTACAAGGGTCTTGTTTTCTCTCCCCCCTCCCCACAGAAGAAAAGTGGGGAAAAGAGAAAATAAATACTTGTTCATTGAAAAAATGAATAATATTTGGACTTATATTCCACTTAATACCTTAGATTAATTTTGATCTCTCCAGGTCCAAAACTGCTTAGCATCACCAAAGCAAGTTTTGGTAGCAGATGTGGTTATAAGTTTAGGTCCCTCTGGTGGCCAGCAGGGATACTGCAGCCTCTCGGAAAAATACAATCTCCCACATATGCTAGAATAAGAAACTTAAAGAGCTTAGCTGGGGTTCAAAGACGGTACCACCTGATGTCTAATTCCGATATTGCACTTCCTTACTAGATAATGAAAATCATGAGACGGTCCCTTTCTGAAGCTTAAATAAGGTAGCATTCAAGCCACACAAAAGGGTAGAGGAGGAGGAGGAGGAAGAGGAAGAGGAAGAAGAAGAATGAAGGAATAAGTGAATGAATGAAGGAAAATTCCCAGAGTAGACAAGAAGAGTAAGATGAAGGACACAAGTAGAGGGATTGGTCTTGGCAAAAAGAGAAAGGGGGATGATGTTAATGTTATGTGAAACATAAAATGGGAAAAAAGTTTGAGACAAATGTCCTTAATTAATTGTAGATGGATTTCTCAAGGACTTTTGCTGAGAAAGGAAGGAGAGACCTAAATTAATAGCTTGAAAGGATAGTAGGGTTTGAAAATAGTTTGAAAGGATAGTAAAGATTTCTTAAGAATGGGAAATATTTTAGTGCATTTATAAATAGCAAGCAAGGAGCAAATAGTGAGAGGGTGAAGATTAAGGGGGCTGATAATGGAGGTAATATGCCATGGAAGACAGGAGAGGATGAAACTAATGGTATATGTAGAGGAAATGGACTCGAACAGGAGAAGGGCCACTGCTTCATCAGAGACTCAGGTAAAGAAGAAAATAATGGGGCATTAAATTAAAGTTATGAGATGAGAAGGGAAAATAATAATAATAACAACTAATTATAGTCAATATTTACATAGCATTTATTATGTGCCAGGCACTGTGCTAAGCACTTTTAAAAAATTATCTCATTTGGTACTCACAACAACCCTGGGAGGTAGGTATGCTATTATTATCCCCATTTTACAGATGAGGAAACTGAGGCAAACAGCATTTAAGTGATTTGCCCAGAGTCACATAGCTAGTAAGTATCTAAGGCTGAATTTGAACAAGATCTTCTTGACTCTAAGCCCTGAGCTCTATCCACTGTCCTACCTAGCTTCCTTACCTTGTGGCAAGGAGTCTTAATATTTTTTTTAATTATGATTTGACATATAAAAGATTATGGAAGTATGGGATAAAGCTGAAGATTTGGTGAAATATGAATCTTGCCTCAGCTGGGGAAGAAGGGGAAATGATGCTCTGGGGAGGTATAACTGTGGATAGTAGGCTAGAGAATCAATTAGAGAGGAGCATGCCTTGCTGTAGTGAAGGTCCAGGGGAGACTGATAACAAATTTTCTGTGGCCTCAGTCGGAAGGGTTGCTATGACATTTCCTGTTGTGAGTAGGAATAGAGGAAGCAGATGGTAAGCATAATTCAGAGGCAGAGTTTGACAAGGCACAAATGAATGATAGCACAAGAGAGCAAAGGATTCAAGAGTGGAGACTAGAATAGAATTGCACTGATTCACTATGGCGTCAAGACTGGGGCAGCTAGATAGTGTAGTGGGTAAAGTGCCAGGCCTGGAGCCAGGAACACTCATCTTCCTGAGTTTCAAATCTGGCCTGAGACACTTACTAGCTATATGATCCTGGGCAAGTCACTTAATCCTGTTTACCTCAGTTTTCCTCATCTGTAAAATGAGCTGGAGAAAGAAACGGCAAACCACTCCAGGATCTCTGCCAAGAAAACCCCAAATGGGGTCAGAAAGAGTCGACACAACTGGAAATAACTGAACAACAACAACAAAATTGGAAAGGAAAGAAGTTGTGGCCAGGGGAGAGGAGATGGCCTAGGACGGAATTGAGAGTGGTAGAGAGATTTTATTAATGACAGTTGTTAAACACCATAGAACCAAGCACATATCCCTAGGGCACAATAGAGACTTCCTTCAAAGTTGACATAGAGTCATTAACAATTACTTTTTGTCCATTTAATCAGTTTCAAATATATGTAACTGTAGTAGTGTCTAATCCATATCCTTTCTTTTCTGTTCCTTTCTGTACTTTTCTTTCTTTCTTTTTTTTTCTTGAGGCTAGATCTCCATATCTTGCCCAAGCTGGAAAAGTGTAGCAGCAGCTTCTGATGGACTTTATTATACTACTGATCAGCACGGGAGCTTTGGCTTGCTCCATTCCTGACCTGGACTGGTGTTGCTCCCAAGGAACTCGCCATATTGGTGATAGACTTACGGTAGACATCTTATTGACTGTTAGCCCTATTGCAGCTCAGAACTTCTTAGTTCAAGGGATGGGACCACCTCAGCATCTCTAATGGCACGGTTAACATTCCCCCTCAATTTTTTTCCCCCAGGATAGCATGATTTTAGCAAATGCTTTGTTAAAACATAGGTAAGGTTAAACCAGATCTAAAGCATCTACCGATCTAGTTGTTGTTTGTCCTTCATTTTTGAAGAGGAGCAATGACATCATGGGATCATATCTTGACTCTCAAATGAATTGGATTTAGTGGGGTACAGTTGAACAGCCTCACTCTCTCTTCCAGCGGCAAGACAGAAGTCAAGAGCACTGGCGATGATCCAGGATGCAGTGGATGACCTTCAATGTCTGACCAGGCTCTAAGGACTCCACAGCCCCTGCTTCAGCCGCCTTCATGGCTGTTGGAACAAATTGTTCTCCACCCATTCTGCCAGGGGAAGTCATCACGTTTGGGGTAGACATCCCCCTAACTCACTGATGGGTTTGAAGCCTGTCTGTTACCCTCAACCTGGCTTAGCCCATCTGCCAAAAGAGTTTACTGGGATGTGACCACTGAGTGCCAGGTAGACACCAAAGGCGGATGAGCAGCCCTGAAAAGGGCCCAGCAGGCCATTGCCCCAGAGGTGCTGGTCCTCCTTGAACACCCATCCACCTCAGTCTAGTAATGCTACCAAAAAAGGGCATGAGGTTAGTTTGGCCATGACCTGTTCCAGCTGAGCCATGCAGGCTCTTTGTGAAGGCCCATTTATCTCACCAAATAACTCCTTACTTACCCCCTCCTACAGATGCTGCCAAGAATCAGAGACAAGATCTGTAGCATCAAGTTCATAGTCTCTTTTCTCTTCCCTTTTCCAAAAACATTTACCCATTTCTAATTTTAGAATATCATCTCATCCAACTTTGTGAATTTGGAGCCAGGATTCAAATTTCAATCTGAATTCAGTAAGCCAAATCCACAGCTCTTTCTACCATACTGTGTCTTTCCTGTGGTCTGACTTTTTTTTTTCAAGCATCATAGGCACCATCTATGTAAAATTTTTTTTTGCATAATTTCCAAGGTGCTTATTATTTATTTTGTAAATACCTACTTTTGGGGGCAGCTAGATGGCACAGTGGATAGAGCGCCAGCCCTGGAGTCAGGAGGACCTGAGTTCAAATCTGGCCTAGGACACATGACATTTACTAGCTGTGTGACCCTGGGCAAGTCACTTAACCCCCTTGCCTAGCCAAAAAAAAAAAAAAAAAGAAAAGAAAAAAGGTAAATACCTGCTTTTGCACATGGCGTCCCTTCCCAGACCCCACTCCTCCATGGAAATTAGCTCTACCTCTGTGATCCTAGTAGTATAATAGCCAGGAACCCAGCTCTAATTATCTCACAAGGGCTTGTTAAACTTTTGGTGCAAGCATTTATACCTCAGAAATATGCAATTGCTACAAATCAGGGTCTGATTTTTGTTGACTCCTAGACTTTAAGAAAGTATGAATAGTTCAGTCTAAACTTAAAAATATATGTGCATATATTCCTCACCCCTCCCCTTCCCCCAGCCCCAGAGAACCGGGTGTTAAACATTTACTAGCTCACCCCTGCTTTGTTCTATAAACATTGCTTGAGCAGTAGAATGATCAGGAGATGAATTCATCACCAGACGGGAGGCCTGGGAACTAGAGGCTGATAAAAATAACTGGCATTTATATACTGCTTTACATCCGAGTTCTACAAAACCCCTGATAATAAGCATCATTTTGTCTCCCCTGATAGAATGTAAGCTCCCCAGAGCAGGGACCGTTTCAATTTTGTCTTTGAACCCTCACCACATAGCACAGTACCCAGAATATATATAATGTGCCTTTAAATGCTTGGTGATTTATTGATTACTTGTTTACATACTGGTAAGTTCCCTGAGTGACGCAAGCTGATGAAGAATAGTAATTGTTTTAGTTTCATCTATCCCTAGCAGCTTACACAAAACCATGCACACAGTAGGCGCTTAATAAATGTTAGTTTAATGCTGAAGCACAAGTCTAGATGTGCAGTCTCTCCATCTCTCTCTCTCAGTCCCCGCTGCTCCCACCCTCCACCCCGCCCCCGGCAACTAGGAGGAGGATGTTGTGTTCACCAGCCCCGCCCAGCCAGAAGCCTCATCCCTGGACGGACTACTTCCTCACCCCTTAGTCAACCACTCTTGCTGTTGCGCCTGCGCTAACGTCTGTCCTGGGCCCCTCCTCTCTCCTGAGATTTTCAACTGCAGGCTTCCAGACGGGCCGCAAGAGAGCGCAAGTGGAGAGTCCTCTGGTCCCCACACCTCTATCGTCTGTAGCGACCGAGAGCAGTCTACCCCGGAAGTGGTCGGGCTCCGGAGCCCAGAGCTTCCGGGGTGGGAGGGGGTGGCTGAGGTGACCCCAGGAGCCGAGGCTAAGTCTGAGGCTGAGGCCTCAGAGGCAGTAGCAACAATGGGTGCACACCTGACTCGGCGCTACTTGGGGGACGCGGAGGTGGAGCCCGACCCGTTGCACGTGCCCACTTTTCCCCTGGATTATGGCCTCCAGGGACGCAAGGAACGAGGTGAGGGCACCGGCTGGGGCTAGGGGAAATTCAGGAGCCAGGGGAGAAAAATGCCTCCCGTGGTCTAGTGCGCAGGCGCCGGGCGGCCAAGAAAGAGCCTGGGATCCTGCGGGGCGTCTGGTGCAAGCCGGGGGCGGAGAGGGGAGGGAGTGGCGGAAGGCCGCGTAAAATCCCGGCTCGGCCACTTTTACTTCTGTGACCTTGGGCCAGTCGCTCCCCCTCTTTAGTGATCAGGCACCTTCCCCCGTAAAGTGAGGGGCTCCAAAGTCCCTTCTTACCGCGAATCTGCGGTCCACTCTTGGACAGCTCTGAGTGTTAGACGTCCACCCCTTGCTTTTAACTCAGCAAGTCCAACCTATATCTTACTTATGATGACTATTGATTGGGGGCTTACTATGCGCCAGCCACTGTGGGGAAGGGAAAGAGAACATATTGAGCACTTACACAGCACCTACTATGTGCCAGGCACTGGAGGGAAGAGGAATGGAATAAGCATTTATGTAGAGCCTGTCATTTGCCCTGGGAGGTAAGAGCTGTTATTGCCCCCATTTTACAGTTGAAGAAGCTGAAGCAGACAGGTTTAAGTGACTTGTCCAGAATCACACATCTAGTAATTAAAATATTTGACAGCTCACATCCCACATGAGCCATCTCTTTTCCAGACAAACATCCCCTGTTCCTTCAGCAGGTCGGAAGGACTTTACCTGGCCTGGTTGCTCTCCAGCCTCACTGTCTTTACTAAAATGTGCCCAGAATAGTTTTCATAATTCACATATATATAGTGCTTTATATAAATTATCTCATTTGATCTTCACACAAACCTTATGAAAAGGTGAAAGGGCATTAGCTTTTCTTGTTCTCATTTCGGATAAGGAAACTTAGATTTATAGGGAGTAAGTGGCTTGACTCAGAACACGAAGGGGCAGAAGTGGTATTCAAATCCATCTGTTTCTGACTTCACATCCAGCAGCACTGAACACAGTAGCCCAGAAGTGGTCTGACCAGGGTATAAATCAATGTTACTGTGATATCCCCAGCCACTTACTTCTCTTAATGCAGCCTGTTTAAAAGACCCTGTCAAAGACAGCAACTGGGTCTGTTACTCAGTGCACTCTGGTGGGGTTTTTTTTGTTTTGGTTTGGGGGGGTTGGTTGGTTTTTTGTTCGCTTTCCATATCACTCCTGATTTGTATTGCTTTTGCAGTCTCCTGATATTTACAAAATTGAGGAGTCTTGAATCAAGGTATAAAGCTTTTGCATTTATCTTTATTAAATTCCATCTTACTATATATAGTCTATCCTCATAGAGATCTTTTTGGACATCGACTGTTAGCCAACATGTTAACTATCCCTCCTGGTTTGTATCATTCACATATTTGATAAATATGCCTCTATCCAAGTTATTGATAAGAAATGTTTAACAAGGACATATGCCCTGGAACATTCTACTATGTACTACCCTCCGAGTTTAAGACCCCCTTAATACAGTTCCAGGGCAACCTGAGTATCTTGTCTCACCTAACATCTATCTCTTCCGCAAGGATGGAATCAGAGGGGTTACCTAATGCTCAGCTCAAACCTGAGTAGACTGCACGGAAAGCTTTCCCTTGAGATGAGGTTACTTTTCATTCTTTACTCCCTTGAATATGTTCCAGAATATTCCCACCACCCTGTTTGCAGGTTTTACACTTTTTCCTTTTTGGAAAAGTACGACATTTGCACTTCTCCTGTCCTCCAAGGTCTTTTAAAGTTCACCAACAGCAGGTCAGAAATTTAGCTGGCAGTTTTGTGTATCCTGGGACATAACATGGTGTCATGATCACATTGAGGGCAGCTAGTCAGTAGCTCTTCTGCGTGTGTTTCAAATCCCTGTTAAGCATTTGGGGTCTGTTCTGGATCTGAAGATCAACCAGACACAAAATAGGAATGGCAGTTGTCATCAGTCCATCCATCACAACTCATGAGCCTTCTTAAATACTCCTCTCCATTAACATAACTTTTTCAAAGCCTTCTTTTGCTGTCTTTACTATCCATTACCAGCCTCAGTATATTCTGGGCCAGGGGTGGGGAACCTGAAGCCTCAAGGCCACATGTGGCCCTCTGGATCCTCAAGTGCAGCCCTTTGACTGAGTCCAAGTTCTACCTAACAAATCCTTTTATTAAGGGGATTTGTTCTGTGAAGTTTGGATTCCACAGGCTCCCCACCTGTCTGGGTTTTACCACTACTGACATTGTTCTTAGATTATTATACCATTTTCTTTATTCATTCATCCTCTGTCCTTGGTTTCTCCAGCCAGCTCCTCCTTTCTTCCCCCCTCAGAACTGTTTATATTTTAATACTCTGTCCTTCCTCAGATCTCCTTTAAAATCTGCTGTCCCAACATCTGGAGAACATCTAGCTAAATCTGGTTTTTCTGCCTTCTGACTGATTCTGTGGTAAAGAAGTCACTTCTCATCATTTCTGCTTGCACAGGCAGTGCCTCCTGCTCAGAATCAGGCATATAACAGTTTTCCTTGTCACTTTGTGGGGGTGGGGCCAGAGCAGATTACAGTTTGCTGTACCGAGAGAGAAAATTGGTGTATGGGCAGCAGTAGTCAGAGGTGTTCCCTGGAGAAAATGGGGGAAGACGGCCTTGGGTAAAGAAATGAGAGATTGAGGCAAGACCCTAAGCTCAAGCCCTTGTCCTGGTTCTCCAATGGGTGCAGTGATGGTGGCCACACAGCAGGAAATGAGTGATGCACAGCTGCTACTGCAACAACGGGATTACTGCGCACACCATCTCATCCGAATGCTCAAGTGTAAGCGGGACAGCTTTCCCAACTTCCTGGCCTGTGGCCATGAGAAACACATCTGGGACCTCTGTGAGCACCAGGAGTAAGTTTCATTGCCATTGTACCCCAAGCCCACTCCCCATATCTTCCACATGTCCCCTCAGTCCAACCTATTCTCTCCACTCCCCCACTCCCCATCCTGAAAACAAAGGCCCAGATCACACTCCCACACCCCCAGGTACCAGGTGTAAAACCTCATTCCTCCTATGCCACTAAGGAGACAGCTCTTGTCCCTCTGTCCCGCTTCCTTTTCCCACCCTCAAAAAAACCCCTGATATTCTGCACTGAGCACCAGCACCCTGGCTACTCCAGTTCCCTATCTGCTGTGAGAAAGAATTATCATGAATCATAATGTATTTAAGGGGAGAGGGGAACTTGACAAGCACAGAGGGAGTAGTGGGAGATGAAGCTGAAAAAGAAAGTGGGGACCAGATTGTGAAGGACCTCAAATGTCAGGCTTAGAGGTTTTAATTTGACCCCTTGGACTAATGGGAGCCATTCCTGCAGAGGAGTGATATGATCACAGCTGTGATTTAGGAAGGAGACTGGTGGTATGTGTTGAAGAAGCACTGGAGGTGGAGAGACCAGTTATAGTGGAAACTTTGTCAGTAGCCCAGGTGAGAGGAATGAGGCTCCAGCTAGAGGGGTTAGTAGTGCAGATGGTAACTAGTGAATACAAATAAATCTGAAATAACCAATACTTCAAGTCCCAGGATGGGGCCATTAACAGAAACCTGCTAATTGGGTGGGTTTTTTTGGGAGGAAGATGAGGAATTCAGCTTTGCCCATGCTAAGTTTAAGCCCTAACAATCCTAGAGGAACTGTCCAGCAGATCATTGGAGATGCAGGTCCCAACATGAAGAAGTCAAAGCTAGACATAAGAGATTGGGAAAGCCTTGGGAATGGTACAACCCCTAGCACCTATCCATCCTTCTCCATTCCTAGCAAATCTAGCTTATGAAGTGACAACACATAGCACATGTCCAGGATGGGTAGGAAGATACTGTCAAACCAAGGAAAGCCCAGAACAGCTTTTGGGAGCTCCAGCTTTGCCAAACTTAGATGAGGTGAGACCCAATAGGAATGAGAGGGTGTCTTCTTGAACGGGAGAAGTCTGCTTTGGACTGGAACCCTTGGGCCTTAGTCTTATAACTCCTAGGGATTCTCATACGTACCCATATGAGCCTGTGGACAATGAGCCAGACTTAAGGATAGGTACTAGAAAACACCCTCCTTCTCCTCCCTTAACAGCCTTTACTTGTTTCATCACCAGCCCAACTCTGAAGAGTATTAATTGATAGGTTCCTGAGTTACCCTACATACCTCAGAGTGGTTGTCCTTTAAGGGAGAGCTACTGCCGCTGTTTGACAGGGCCAAAGGTGGGGGAGGGGTCAGTAGGGGACCTGATGGTGGAAGGGCCTCAATGACTGATAACAAGCCTGACCCACAGTCATCTTTCTCCTAGCTATGTAGGCCGAATGAAAGAGTTTGAGCGGGAACGACGTCTGCTGGCACGACAGAAGCGACGGGCAGAGAGTGAAGCTGCAGAGCCAAAATAGCCACAATTATACTGAAACCCCAGGTCTATCCCCATAACCATGTACCAGCTGGATAAATAAACACTGTTTTGACCTTCCAGGCCCACTCAAAGGCCTGTGTTTGCCATCACAAGCACCTCTCATTTGGATACTGGGGGCCTCAGGTCTTTCCTGACTAGCTCCCACCCCTAACCTTCCTCTCCCCAGCAGGCTTCTTCTGATGCCTGAGACGTTTTGGAAGGAGGCAGAGTATAGACACATAGGGTACGGATGGCCCCTGAAGCCTGAGTTCTCCTTAAGGACTGTCCTGAACTTTACAAGGTTTCTCTACTTTCAGCTATACCATGATTAGTGGAGCACTGCAGCCAGCATCCATGTTTATATTAACTTCCTCAAGCTGGGTAGGCATCCCAATGTTTATTTTCCATAATATACCAAGAAAAGGCCTTCCCATCCTGGATGAGGCTTCTGTATAAATTTTATGTAAAGATATAGACTGCAGTTACACAAGATTAGGTCTATGTAAGTGCCCACAATAATTAAGCCATTAAAGTATAATTCACCAAGTGTGTTTGGGCTTGTGCTTGCCTCAACACTAGGGCTCCTATTTAGGCTCCTATCCAGCCCCTTTCACAGTGTATGCCACCAAAGAATCACCCAGAGCTCCTGGAATTAGAATGTGTTTTATTCTTGTAGCCAGAAAACAAGACCTTCTAAAACCGGTGTCCCTCCTGCAGTGCTTGTGTTATGTTTGAGTCAGGAGAAGAGGGGAGGGCCAAGCCCTCTGCCCAGGCAACAGCTGAACTGACCCCCGGGTCAGTGATGGGGGAAGAAGGGGAGGGGGAGGGGGGAGTCCTGGGGCACAAAATCAGGGGCTGAGAAGCTGCCCAGGGATAATCCCAAAGGATAGGGGCCACTCCAAGAGGGCAGTTTAGAGAAGGAAGGGGATAATGGGAGAGCGTAGTGGAGGGTAATCGCGGAACTCTTTCAGGTAGCTGCGGTGCTTCCCTTTGGCCCAGATGGTCATTTGGATGAAGCCCACAAGGGAGAAGAGAGCCACTGTGGAGAAGAGAAAGAGAAGTAAGTGGGTAAAATTCCCTGCCTCTGGTAGTATAGGAAGGCCCTTTTAGATATCTTGGGATTTAGAGCCCAGAAGGTTTTTGATGCTTCCTATCTGGTCCATCCCCTTCATTTCACAGATGAGGAAACAGGGCAAGAGAAGTAACTACCAATGACACAAAGGCAGTAAGAGTTCTCCAAACTCGGGTCCTCTGACTCAAATCTAATGCTTTCTGCCTTGCTGGAGTGAGTGGAAAGACCAAATGACAAGGTTATCTTTGTTCCCCAAGCCCAGCCTGAGTTTATCCAAGGAGCACAGAAAGGCAGTTAGGAGTCTCACCTGGGAGGCACTGGGTCATGATGGCAAATCCAATCCAGGATCCCACCTATGGAAGAAGAAGGTCAGGGTGCAGTTAAGGCCTGGTATCCCTACCCAACACAAACAAACCCTCCACGTGTAGGCTGTGTGAGCTGGCTGAAACAGGACGCTGACCCTTATGGACCTGCCCACCATCCAAGGTAACTGAAGCCTCTGATTCAGGTGATAAAATAACCTGGAGCTCTTGGTTTCTAGTACAGGCTAAAAAATTTTGGGCTGATTAAGGCCACAAGAGAGAAGGGGAATGGATACTGTCTGCTCCTGATTGAGTGCCCTAAATGTCTCCTCGTTCCTGGGACCTATGGGATGCTCCATTCTACAGTCCACGGCCCAGGGATCCAAAGAGGTAACCGTTAATGCTGGCAGAAGAGAATCCTGAGTCCAACAAATCAGAGGAAGCAAATGCAGAAACTTTAGAGGAGAGACCTCACCTCATACGTATAATTGGGACATGACACCAGCAGGAAGAGCCACGTGAAGGGGTTCTTGGTCGGATAAGGTATCTTCCGGGTCTTGGAACCTATAAGAGAGTAGGTGAATAACATCAGCATTAAACACACTTGGCCCTAAAGATTGAGAACTTGAAAAAAAGTTAAAATTAAAAAAGACTGAGAACTTGAAGGACCTGTGGAGGTCATCTAGTCCAGCCCCACTTATTTTACAGATATGGGGAAAAGGCCCACAAAGGTAATAACAGATGCCACTCACATTCTCAACTGTGCTCACAAACACAACCTGGTAAACTTAGCAAGCACCTGCGATGTGCAGACACAGCCAGCACAGACCTGCTAGCTATGACCTTCAGCACTCACCTGCTGGGCGCAGATTCCTCAACGCAATGTGAATGGAGAAGTTACCTAGCTGGCAGAGCTGGGAGAGGGCTATAATTAGACAAGGTCCTGGCCTCCAAACGGATTCCACACAATGCCTCCCCCGCTGCACCCCCACCACACACAGACCACTCCAGACCCAAGGGCCCCCTTACCACAAAAATGCCAAGTGCTAGTTTCACCTGCTGACCACCATAAGCTTAGGAGGGGAAGAAAAAAACAAAGAAAAGGGTGAATGTCAGCTGAAGGGACCAGTAGGTCCCCAGGGACAGCGCAGAGACTGGGTCACTCACTTGGGGGAGTGTAGAGAGGGTGGTTGATATAATAGGCCATCCAGGCAGCAAAGCCCCAGTAGTAGGTACAGTTCTGAAAACGGGAAGAGAGAGAAATGGGTGAGAACACCTGGAACGTCAATTCTATTAATAAATCTCAATTCATCTATAAGGATAATTCTTATACCATTTCCCTCATGTTTCTTCTGAGAAAAGTATAAGCTTTAGAGAAGTAAAGGGATTTGTCAGACAAGTGTCAGAACTGCCACTTGACCCCTGTGTCCGAACTTTTAGTGTCAGCTGGAGCTCAAGAGCCACTTGGCTTTTCCAAAAGAATCCCTATCCCCACTCTACCAACAACAGTGTGCTCATCCAGCCTGTGGGGAAGTGCCCCTCCCCACACCCCCACTCCCGCTCCCACTCAGAGGCAGCCCCTCTTCCACCTACCAAATCCTAATGCAGCTTCCCCTATTACTCACTCCTGGTTTTCCCTATGAGGCTAAATAGAACCAGTCTGATTCCTCTTGACAGTCCTTCAAATACATGAAGACACGTCATGTGCCTCAGTCTCCTCTACAATTTAAACAGCCCCCAAACCTTCAATTCATTTTCATATTCAAGGCCCATGGCTATGCTGGTTGTACAATATTCTAGATGGGAGTGACCAGTGGGTACATAAATGGGACTAACACCTCATTTTTGAAAGTTATGATTTTATTAATGCGATCCAAGATCACAACAGCTTTTGGCTACCACACCAGCCCGCTAAGACAACTAGGTGACACAGTGGATAGAGTGCCAGGCCTAGAGTCAGGAAGCCTCATCTTCATGAGTTCAAATCTGGCCTCAGACACTTACTGTGTGACCCTGGGCAAGTCACTAAAGCCTGTTTGCCTCAGTTTCCTCATCTGTCAAATGAGCTGAAGAGGGAAACAGCAAACCACTCCAGTATCTTTGCCAAGAAAAACCCAAATGGGGTCACAAAGAGTCAGACACAACTGAACAAAAGCAACAATGACAACAAATTGTTGGCTTATATTGAACATATAGTCCAGTAAATCCCCTGCTCTATTTCAGACAGGCTGTCACTCAAACATGCATCTTCCATCTTGTGCTTGTAAAATTAATTACACCATATGACTTCTTTCTCAAAAAAAATTAAAATTATGCTCACAATTATGCAGCATTTTAAGATTTTAAGAGCACTTTCCTCACAATAGCCCTGTGAGGTGGACGGTTTCAAGTATTATTGACATTTTATAGATGAGGAAGCCAAGAGTTAAAGAGGCTGTGACTTCCTGAAGGTCCCACAGCTAGTACATGTCAGAGCCAGGACTAAAACTACATCTCTCCTGACTCAACTACCTTGTGTTACATTAATGCAACCCCTCTAAATAAATCCCATACTGGCCTAGAGCCCAGGGAAGTCAGTACAGCAGCGGGAAGAGAAGGGAGCTAGCAGGCTGACTGATGACCTCATCATCTCCAACCACACGATCCAAGGGGTCGACAAAGCAATGCTGCCTCAAATCTGGGGAAGCGCAAGGGCAGGCTCCTCCTAGGGAGAATTCTGGCAAAGTCTACAATGAAATCTCAGCCTTTAACGAACATAATGAGCAGCCTAGGCTGCCTCTGGGAGCTTCAGGGCAATATCTGGGCCACCTAATTGAGTAAGACCACAGCCAACTGAGAGGATATTCTCCAACATGGCAGGACTCTAACAAAGTTCCCTGCCAGCAGCTTGCTGTTCAGCCACCTGAAAAATGTGAAGCCCTCTCATGCCAGATAGAGTCAAGGCACAGTCTCAGTGCTCGCCCCCTTCCCTCTTCCCTCTACCCACAAGGGCTAACCTTGAAGATATTACGCAGGGGCATTGTCCCGTGAGAGAAACGGTGAACAAACAGTGTCTCCAGTAAGCGCTTGATGTAGTGGAATGAGTGACAAATACAGGCAAGACTAGAGGAGGAGAAAAAGAGGAACAGCTCAGCTCTCTGGGCTCCCCCACCCCGCCCCACCCACTCCACCCCCAGGCCCTGCTAATCACAACAGGGAAGGAAATAACAGAACTGGAAGGGACCTCTGAAGTCATAAGAATCATAGGATCAAAGTTGGACAGAATCTTAGGGATTTCTAGTCCAGCTCCCTCATTTTACAGATAAGGAACTGAAGCCCAAGAGGATAAAGGATCTGCCCAAAGTACCAAAATGGCAGTAAGTAGGAGAGCTGGGAATGGAAGATAAGCCTAACTCCAAACCCACTCCACAATATGGCCTCCCCAATGACATCATCCAGGTTTGTTACTGAGCAAGAATCCCTTCCTCCAACTACCCCCAACAAGCCCGCATCCAGACCCTTTCCTGCAGCCCTCCAGTGATAGGGTGGGAAACTAAGGACAAGGGGGATGTGGCAGGGCTGGAAATATGTGCCTGAGTTCACCCACTCCCCTGCCCAGAAGCCATACTCACTGAACCACAGTGTGCCGGCTAGATGTGAAGTCATACTTGTGACCATAGATGAAGGGTACCCGGAAGTAGAATAGTAGGTAAATGAGAAGAGGGCCAGCATACTCGGTCAGGAATACCTGGGCAGTGAGGGACATAGATAAAGGAAGGGCAGGGAAGAAGGCTACATATTGGGCTAGGGCTTCCAGGAGGAAAGAGCATGGATCTCACCGTAACCCAGCTGATTTGGGCTCCCAGATCCCGGAAGTAAAGTGTGGCTGTGGTCCCCACAGGCAGGTTCTGCAGAATGTCCTCATCCTTCAAGGACTTGCCCTCTGTATGAAAAAAGGGGGAGAAGGCAAGTAAAGAAGGGGAGAAAGGGACCCACAAGGAAGAGTGCTCATGAATACCTAATGAGACCTCTTCCCCAAAGGTACTACGATGACTCTGGAAGTTTGAGGGTGGAGAAGAAGATGGGTTCCCTATAAAAGTGTTTACTCACTAGGATCCAGCCGGAGGGACTGCCGGGCAGCATACCACTGGGGATCTAGAGAAGAGAAGCAGAAAGGATAGAAGACCCTGTCCT